ACTTAAGCTCCCAAAATGAGTCAAAATAACTCTATATAATAGAGTTATCACCATGGAATCTCTGTCTTTTCTTAATGCCATGGTTCAGGAATTTTTTTCTCTTCATTGGAGTGTTCTTTTGCTTTCTCTTTTCGTTAGAGGAAGAATTTTGAGAAAAAGTGAGAGAATGGGGTGAGCAAAAAGGAGAGAGAAGAAAAGAAATATCAAGCATGGGACAGAGAGTTAAGAAAAGTTATCTCGAAGAGGGGACAATTGAGGGACTAATTGTTGGCCACGTGGTATAGCCAATTGAACCCTTGAGACACGCTTGTCATTCTTGAAAAAGTCAAGGCTCTGATTTTCATTTTATTTGTTACTTTGAGATTTTTTAGGGTTTTTGTGTTTTAGGGAGGCCATGGCATTTCCGTCTTTTCCTAACGCCATAGTTTCATAATTTTTTTCTTTTCTTCTCCCCATTCGAGTGTACTCTTGCTCTCTCTTTTGATTAAAGGAAGAATTTGGAGAAACAATAAGAGAATAAGGTGAGGAAAAAGGAAAGAAGGGAAGGAAGAGATCAAGCATAATAGAAAGAGTTACAAGCGACGAGAAGAAATACAAATATGAATTCAATTTTGTAATTTTTTTAATTGATTGAACAGATTAGATAGAGATAAACTGACTTCTTTCTTATTTTTCTCCTTTCTTCTTCATCTTATTTCCTTACCCATTATTTTACTTTTTAATTATTTATTTAATTTATTTAATTTTAATTTATGTATTAATTCAAATTTATGAATTTAGTTTAAAAATGGTAAGAATAAAAATAAAATAATTAATTGAATAATTAATTCCATTTTTTTATTTATCCAATTTTTATTATTTAGGTTTTTATTATGTTTTTTTTATAATGTTATCGCTTTTATACATAAACTAGAAACCTTTGGCGTAAGTTTCTAATTTCCTTTCTTTTATCTCATTTGATTTGATTATTAAAGCTTTTATTATTTAAATTCTTTATTACTTTTATTTTTATAATGTTATTTCTCCCATGTAAAAATTAGAAACCTTTCAGGTAAGTTTCTAAAATTTTCTTTTGTTTATCTTATTATATTAAGTGTGTGGTTATACTTCTCTATTGTAGACAATAATCTACTTGAGTCTTTACTCATTGTGAGATTGAGTTTAGTTTTTCTCTTTTTTTTTGTTATTCTTTCTCTTAATGTTTTAATTTATTTATTGATTACATTTACAATTTTTATTTTTTTCATAGAAGTTGCTATACAGGTGAAGAAGAAAATTCTCTTATGTTCATGGTGATTACCCATTGTTATTGATTTTTTTATGCATGAATTTTCTATTTTATAAGTTGATGTTGTTTTTGGATTAATTTTCCAGAATGTCTTTGATCAATGTTGCTTAATTTGGTTATACAATCTTGATTTTTATAGGTTTAAGATGGTTTTCAAGTGTAATTATTTTTAGTATTTCAAATGTGGTTCTTATTTTATTTTTTAATTTCATGATTTTCTGTTTATTCAAGCTTTTATTATTTGAGTTCTTTATTATTTTTGTTTTTATAATGTTATTGCTTCCATACAAAATCCGAAATCCTTTTATGTATGTTTTTAAATTTTCTTTGTTTTTATCTTATTTG